TATATGAGTGACTGATTAGGACTAAAGCTTATTACATATGAGTGATTGATTAGGGTTAAAACTTAGTGCATATGAGTGATTAATTAAGGCTACGACTTTTGCTCGGCTCACTAATTCATCAATAATTAAATTGGAATTATCGGCTTTTTAAATTTTGCAGAAGATTTAGGTGTCCAACTGGTTTCAAGGTAGGCATCAATTACCAACCGCCGACAGTTGTACCTGGTGGTGATTTAGCAAAACTTCAACGAGCTGTTTGTATGCTAGCCAATACAACATCAATTGCTGAGGCTTGGGCTAGGCTTGACTATAAATTTGATTTAATGTATGCAAAGCGAGCCTTTGTTCATTGGTAAATTGAATTTATCCATCCTTTTTTTGATCAAATTTTCGCATCTTGTTGTGGCAAATTATGGAAAATTTCCAAATTTTACATTTTAAATTGATTTGAATTTACTTTTACCCATTTTCTTGAATTTTTTTGCAATTAATTTTTCCTAAATTACTAATGAATCCCTAAATTCTTTTGCAGTAATATAAATTTCATCAATTTGTCGCCTAAATTTCTTTCAAATATAGCACATCCATTATATTTCCTCCTCTCTTTTTCTTCTTTGCTAATATTTGTTAGAATTTTCTAATTAAACATTTAAAAGTGATCTGGTTATATCCCAGAATCCCTCAGAAACTTTTTTCTCGTTCTCTTAAATATTCTTTGGCCATTTGGTCATATAATTTGCATGCAATATATCCGGATAACTTTTCAATCAAGATTTGATATTCTAATGTAAATTTAAATTTTAATAAGGTATATTGGCGAAGGAATGGAAGAAGGAGAATTTGCGGAAGCACGCGAAGATTTGGCAGCATTAGAAAAAGATTACGAGGAAGTGGCCCTGAATAGTTATGATGATTATTGATTAAATTATAAGGTTTTTTTGTCCCTTGATTACGTCATTTAATTTGCACATTAAATCAAAGTATTGCTTCCTTTTTTTAAACATACTGTAAATTCGTTGTATTTAAATTATGGTTTTAAATATGTTTA